CCTAAAAGCACAAAACAAGCAGATAATTCTTCGAATGAGAGGTCCTACCCTACAACGGTTGCACCACACCCTTTTCTATTTTCAAAATTCTTTTCACTTTTCAGAATTCTTTTTATAAAAATGATTTTCTTTTAAAAATTTTCATACCAAGTCCTTAGTTTGAGTTCAGAGACACCCGAGAGTGTGCCAGTATCCCTCAAAGCAAGGCTCTGATACCAACTTGAAACATCCCAAAAGTCATGACCAAAAATTTCATTTTAAATCATTGATAAAACCATAGTTATCCAAACATCATATAAAACCATAGGTCATGTATCTCAAAATATCATAAATATCTGTCTAACATATCAGAGTAAAAACATCCCAGGCTAAACAAATGGTGTGTGCACTGCAATCATCCCGAGCTCTTCCCCTTGCTATCGGAAGTACCTGAAATCAAAACTGTAAACTGTAAGCACGAAGCTTTTGGGTTGTTCATGAATGGCTGTCATGGAGTCCTGGCGATCTCCATGATCCACTAGTGTCTGTGTCGGACGCTTGGCACTGTCTAAAGTAAGTGGATTGGCAGCTATTACATTCCCTTAAGTCGGGGGAGTTAAGCCCCGGATATACCTCTCCACCTTCTTACTCTCTAGGGTGACCATCCCGGGACACAGAAGATCCAGGTCACTGAATCTGGCAGTAGAGGCAGCGACATCGAAGTCCTTCATCTTCAGACTCCATAGCTCATGCTCTAGTTTTTGTATCTCGTCCCTCGGGCAGTATTCTGCTAGCATTAGTTCCTTTAAGTCATCCCAACTCATGGCATTGGCTATTGGGAGAGTCGATGACTTGACTTGGCTGTTCCACCAAGTGAGGGCTCTATCTGTGAAAGTGCATGCTGCAAATTTCACTTTACTAGCTTCAGGACAAGCGCAAATTTCAAATATTGATTCGGTTTTCTCAAACCAACTTGTTAAACCAATGACACCTCCGGTGCCATCAAAGGATTTAGGTTTAGCGTTCGTGAAGTCTTTATAGGAACACTCCCTTGGGTGTCCCTGACTATCTCCGTGGTTAAAAGGGTTGGCACCACTACCCGGCCCGCTAGTGCCGCTTGCATTGATCTGCGTCATGGCGGATGCCACGGCGGCGGTTACTGCTGCTTGGAAGACAGCAGGGTCGTACCGAGAAGGTGGTGGCGGTGGTGGATTCATTGGAGGGTTGTTTTTCTTCCTGTTGGACTTCTTTGGAGGCATCTATCTCTATAATGATTAAAGAGAAATTAATGATAAGTCCTCTATAGTGGTCATGAGTCAGGTGATATTTGAACATGATATATCTTATCCTGACTGTTATAGTGTTCTATTAAGCGATTTACAGTGGAAGTCTACTAATATAAGGAAGAATCGCCAACTTCATTTATAGAAACACTTGTACAGAATTTGTATAGCGTGACTCACACTGGGTCCCTCTATAGTCACCTAGTGTATACGAATTATGTATAACTATCAAGGCCTAAATGTTCTTGTTTTAGTGTTGTAAGATCATAAAATACTCCTATAGTATTTTATCTTTATGTTTGGTTCTAGAGTTTCTCTTGTATATAGGGTTGGTAAGGTTTAGACTTGTTGCAACACCACTATCACTCCCAAACATATGTTGGTCGTATCTCAAATAACTATAGTTGATCAGGCTATATTTATCCCATATATGATTACATAACTGTCTAGGTTTAACTGCAGTGTCCAACATCTAAATACTTTTGTGTAGTTCTTACTGTGATATTGTTTCTGGTATGTATGTATGTTTGTATACTTCTTATAAAATACTTAGATTTTAAAAGTATAGTTTTAGTCAGAGCACTTCAGCCCCATTGTCTTTATAGTTGTATATCTTGTAAGGTTTGATATACTTAGTTCACTAAAAACAATGCTCTGATACCAATCTGTCACACCCCCAAACCGGAACGGCGGAAACGTTCGGGGGCGGAGGACGTCATGTACAGTATCACAACAGTTGCATAATAGTAATCAACGCAAACACAACCATTACATTGATAAAATATAGTGTTTACATCTGTTCAATACATAGTTTGTATGACGTCAAAATGTATAGCAAAAGTATAAAATACGCGATTCTTTAAAGCTCCGTCTTCTCAAAACATGGGGGTGTACCTGTCTACCGGTTCCCTAAGAATACAAGTGGTTTTGAAAGTGTATCAACATTTAAGTTTGTGAGTTCATAAGTATGTTTTTGAGATGGAAAGCTAGTCTTTGTTCTTTGAAAATGTTATAGTGTACTTCCAGAAAATCCAATATTTTCTTTGGTGAATGAAATGTAGTCTTAGGACTTAAGACCAAAATGTATGTTTGTTACTGTACTCTGAAATAGTAATCTGTAGTCTTATTAATAAATAAAACTATAACATGAATGCTTCTTGAATTTGTATGACGTACTAGTGTACTCTGTACTAGAAAAGTAGTATATACTGTAGTAGTGTCTGTAGTGATTTTGTATGAAAACCTTCTTGTATGAGTGCCTGAATCCACTAGATGTAGTGTAAAATAGTGTAATGTAGTTTCATTATTTAAAATAAAACCTTTTGTATGAGTGCCTGGAATCCACCAGCTGAGTGTAAATAGTGTACTGTAGTTTCATTATTTAAAATAAAAACTTTTGTATGAGTGCCTGGAATCCACCAGCTGTAGTGTATATAGTGTACTGTAGTTTTATTATTTAAAATAAAACCTTTGAAGTAGTGTTAATCCCGTAAACAAAAGTTTTAGTTGATACTATTATGAGTTTCATATAACCGTGCTTGATATGACCTAGTGGCCTCTACGACGTTCGTCAGGCATCGGAATGTTATGACATTTGTCACCCTTGGCCTGCCGGCCTAGCTGTTGTAAGCAGCTCGGGTGTGGGATTGTCAGTCCCGTATAGATCTATACACAAGTTCACGCTCTCCCTCCAGGATACTCTGGTTAAAATTTATAGGACTTGAAATGGTACCCTAATGGGTACCCCGAAGTAGTGCCTCACAACCCTGTATTAACTAGTTTATGTGTAGTGTAGTAGTGTTCTCTTGTACTTGAAACTGTATGTATTACCTTGTAGTAGTGTACTTTGTCGAACAAAATAATTATACTTAAATAATTATTTAGTAGTGTATCCTTGAATTAGTGAAATAGAGTGTCACACCCCCGAACCAGACGGCTGAAACGTTCGGGGGTTGGGTGACTTCATCTTGTAATATCATCATAGTGAATATAAATGAAACAAAACATCATCATCATCACACATACAATATTACAACTGTCATTGTTTACATCAAGTATTGTAATTCAAATTACATGCCAAAATATTCATAGTATGGTGATAACAAAACACAACAAAGTTTCCATGTATTCTTGTTGACCAACCTGCTCAACGATTTCCTGAGAATACAAGTTAATTTGAAAACGTCAACACATATAATGTTGGTGAATTCATAAGCATGTTTGAGTAAAATTTTTTGTATTACTTTGTAAACAACAGAAAATCCGATATTTTCTGAAAAACGATTTGAAATGTTTGTGTTCGATCTTGTATTAATGCATGTGTGTTAATGTTTGAAAAATGTATAGAGTGAATGGTCCCAGAAAATCTGATATTGTCTGTATATAAAACATTGTAGTCTTATCAGTGTAAGATTCCGTGTTACCAAACTGTAAAGGTATGCCATAAATTTTATAATGGATTTAATTCCTCTAAGTGAGTCGTTATAACCATACTTGGTAATGAATAATCCGCCTGTCATGACATTTTTCTGACACCGACTTGTTTAAGGTAAGGTTTGTCACCCTAGACTAACCTAGTCTAACTGTAGTGAACAGCTCAGGTGTGGGGTGTCATCCCCGTATAGATCTATACACAAACTCACGCTCTCCCTCCAGGAGACTCTGGTTATAACTAAAGGCTACGGTTGTACACTCGATAGGTGCCAAACGGCGTGTCTCACAAGATCCTTAACTGAATTTACGTGAATATTGAGTTGCACAACACTACTAGAAAAACAGCCTTTTACGACGCGCAACGCGTGTCGTAAAACGCTCAGACGACGCGCAAATGCGTGTCAAGGAAGGGCCTGTCATAACGAGAGACGACGCGCTTTTGCGCGTCGTATATTTACGAAGCGCATTTATGACACGCATTTACGACGCGCAGTTATGACACGTAATGCGTATCAAGGAATGCTCTATCATAAAGGAAGACGACACGCATTTGTTTGTCGTAACCTTACGACGCGCTTGTTTATGACACGCAATGCGTATCATTATAGCCTTTGTCATAAATGAAGATGACACGCATTTTTGTGTCATAAAGTTCAACAATCATTTACGATATGAATTTACGACGCCTCTTTACGATACTCATTTACGCATAATACAAAAATATGGAAACAAATATATACAAAAAATACAATCCATTGCATAAAATTTAATGTCATACAAATAATTGTTTCATGGAAAGATAAAACAAATCAATAGAAGTTGTAACAAAAATTTACAAACTAATTAGATATAAGAAATATGAAAAACTTGAAATCCCTAAGATTAGTATTTCTAACAAAATTTTCACGTGAGATACATACAGTTGGACCAGTAAGCAAGGATGTACATGATATCTTCTGCTAGAATTCACAACTATAGTTGCAGCCTTGCTCCTTCTTCTTCTGAACTTATCTCTTGCAGCCATTGCTCTAAGCCTAGTCTGAATAGATACAACAGCTCCTTGTAAATGCTTGTATGATGTTCTTCCTGCACCTCCTTAAATACTTTTAAAGGACATGAAAAAGTTAACTGCCAAGGGCAGGAGATTCTTTGTTCTGGTGGACATAATAAAGTAAATAGTAAATAGTAAATACCATTTCAATATCATTTTCCATATCTGCCTTGTCAAGGATCAACCACAAAAGATCAAATCTTGATAGAAGTGCTGGAGGTAGGTTTATGTTTTCAGCTGGAGTTCTGTGTAGATCATATCTCCCTCTGAATCATCAAACAAAACATTCATATTAGTAACTAAAAAATAGTAATAATAATGTAAATAGTAAATAGAAAATACCATGCAGGATTGGCAACAGCAAGAACTGCAGTTCTTGCATTGAGAGAAGTGGTGATCTCGTCCATCTTATCAAACTCATCAATCGCACTTATCCTCATATCAGCCAGCACCTACACCCATCCATTATTTATAAAGGATGCTTTATACTTCCTATCGGGGGTAAAAGTGGAAATACCAGCGCAACCACAAGATTCAAAATTAATAGGGGATACAACTATGCCAAAACATGCATCAGACACATTAGGGACCTGTCAAAAGATTTAAGGTCTCTAGTCAATATATTTGACTAATATTCAAACTGTTTCGTTTGTTTTTTTTAATAATTTGGGACATAAAAAAGTACTAAAAATAATCATACATCTGTGAATGTCTTAACACCAAGAATATTTGGAGGTAAAGAGACTCCATGGAGGGAATCTCCTTCTATGATCCAGCTATGCAAAGAATTATCCTGTAAAAAATAAGAAAAATAAAAAAAGAATTTAACAATTACAAATTTACATATAATATTTTATAGTTTATTCATAATCCAATTAAGTACCTACCTGGCTACAACTGTACAAGCAGTTTCCATCATAAGCCCAAGTCAGATCGTTCGCAATGGTGACCTATCTGGGTTTTTGTATATTTATTAAAAAAACAAATGAAAAAAAAAACAAGAAATATAAATGTAAGATACGAGGTTTTTTTATTAAAGATCGTACCTTTACAAGGTCAAAACTGAAAACTAAGTAAGCCCTTGCTCCTTTTTCCCCTTAACATAGGCAAATAATGATGTCTATCTGGATAAAGCTTGTTCCTTTTCTAGACTCTAAGAGAATTTTGATTGAGTCATTAAGTCCATTAAGTCAAAATGAAACAGATACCAATAGTTTTAATGAAGTACATGACCAAAATCAAAATGAGCATAAAATATAAATAAATAAAAAAGAGAAAGGCTTGACTTGTCTCAACACTGCAGCAGGAACAGTGAGTTTCTTCCTATTCATTGAACTCATATCCTATTCATTCAACCACCTTAGGGAATGGTACAATGTTATACTTATGTTGGTTTTTCATTATATAATGGTATTTGAACTGTAATATTTGCTACTTGTAATATTATATTATAGATTAAATCAGTATTATTTTATGGAACACAATAAATTAATGTTTTATGTTTCAAACTTTTTAAAAAGATTTACTACTTTTCAATAATTTAAAACATAGTAACGAATTAAAATAAATCACACAGTTGACATATATTTCATCTAATAATATAAATTACCGAATTATTTTAACTTATATCTATATAATTTAGAAACAGAAAAAGAAAAAAAAAACTTTTTGGTGTTAAAAATAATGTAATGGGTAATGAGTTGGAAATGATTTAATACACAAATAACTGAAATATAGGTTGCTAAGAACCATAAAATTAATTAAAAATTTACCTCATTTGTTAGAGCCAAGATCCATTAAAAGCCTTCATCTCCTTTGAAAGTTGAAAGATTTCATTGTAAATGCAAACACGAGAGCAAAAAGCAAACAGAAACCCACCACAGCAGTTGCAGCAACTCCTAAAAATTCATGTTTGTAACCAAATTGATCTTCAAGAAACTGTTTTAATGGAACTGAATGGGACCCATCAGCAAGTTTCAAAAGTTCATTCACATCTCTGTATTGTGATTTCCGCAGCCCATATAAACTCCAAGCCACTGGATTAGCCCAATAATACCATCTCCACCATATAGGAATCCTCTGTAGTAAAACACACAAAACATATCATTATTTATTTACTTAATAATTTTCCATTTGAGAAAAATTGTAATCAATGAGAGGAGTTGAGTTACCATTCGGACAACCTATCATTATGAACAATAAATAAATAAAATAATGAATAACTTTAAATAGAAAAGATAAATTTTACCTCTCCAATTCCAGTACTTCCATCTTCAATATACATAGTTAGCACAAATCCTTCTCTATAATATGTGGAATTGTACTTTATAAATTTATAATAAATCTTTATAGATCCATTTTTTTAGTAAAAAGCTGACCTGTACTAGAAAAAACTCCAGTTTATGAACTTTAATTGAATTGAGAACTGATAGCTGTGAAATAGTGGATAAAGCATGATATGCTGCTTCACATGAAAATTGTCTTAAATTACTCTGGAACTTTTATTGGCATCAAATGAGCTCTCAACTTCTATAACAGAGTCACTTTATTCATGTTGAGAATTTAACAGAGCCTTTTGCAGCTCGGATTTTGTGCTGACATGTACATGCTTCACACTTGATGTGAATAATAATCTCACATTAGCAATCAGAAGAGGAATAAGTGATGATGAAATATGAATTCATGAATGATGATCATTACCCATGTGCAATGCATAAGTTGTGAATATATATAGAGACAATGACAGACTGACAGATATATATATATATATATATATATATATATATATATATATATATATATATATATATATATATATATATATATAGAGAGAGAGAGAGAGAGAGAGACGTACCCACATAACCAAGCTCTCTTGGCCTTTTGGGTATCCACTGTTTATTGGTTTTCTTCCGGAAAGAAGCTCAAGAAGAACAACTCCAAATGCATACACATCAATCTTGTCAGTTACTTTTCCATACATGAAATACTCAGGAGTTATGGCATGATGTGATTTAGTATTTTTAGATAGAGTTATGACATGAAATCAATTATCGATGTTTCTTCTACAGATTCATAAACAACAAAATTAAGCTACAATTTCTGTGATGGATCAAGAAACAGTACTCCCACATCATGTGTTGATATTCCCGTTGCCATTACAAGGCCCTATGAACTCCACCATCAAGCTAGCTGAGCTTCTATGCCTCTCGGGTTTCCACATCACCTTACTTCTCACTGATCATATCCAAAAACAAAACAGACAACTACTATAATCATGAAACAAGTCAATTTGTGAAGTTTCTTTCTACGACATATCCAAAAACAAAACAGAAAAGATATCAATTCAGATAAGCTTACAATCCTTCTAGAATTCCAGTTCTGAAAAAAGAATATAAGGTCGTCATTCTTGAAATCACATTTTCAAATAAAAAGCCCTAATATTAGAGAAGATAAAGATGAAGTTGGGATAAATGGAAAACTAGTAAGAAATTATTTTGTAGAAATTAGAAAAACGATTAGTTAAAAATAAAAATGGGAAATAGTGATGAAAAATGTTAAACCTTCACACCGGAGATGAGAGAAAGCAAAACCAAAAACCAATTACCTTTTGAACATCGTTTAGGGATTCGCCTACCGAGTCCGACCTATGTTTCAGCCGGTTGAGTCTTCTTCTTCTTTGTAAGATCGAAAAATGTTAGATGAGATGGAGGTTGGATTAGAAGCGAACCTAAGGGATTGAACCCACCCATCACTGCCATTGTCCTTCCTCAAAACCACTGTCGCTCGTAAGCGGAGATCCCAAGGCGAGGAATCCCCGACGCTCCGTGAACCAACTGCAAAAATTTCTCGTCTAAAGTAAGTCGTGAAACGACGTCGTGAGCGCGGTTGGGAATCAGTAATTTGACGTTGCAGAAGGGAATCAGTAATTTGACGTTGCAGAAGGGTCGCATGAAAATGGAGGATGGGATGACTCCGCCGAGACGATGATCGTTGTCATCGTCGTCGCAAGGCATTTGATCATGAAAGCAAGAGCAATTCCCCTATGAAGACGAAGGCCCTAGGGCTTTTTCTTGCTAATTGGAAGAGGCGGGGGGTTTAATTTTTGGGATCCAATAGGCGGGTGAAATCCCGCGTTAAAACGCGTGTTTCATTAACAAATTATAAATTGACACACATATTATGAAAGGCGCCCTCCGCATTTCATTTTTTTTCTTTTCTGACACTAATTTTAGGGCACGCACAAATGCGTGTCCTCTATCCTTCAAATTTTGCAAAACTGACATTATTTTTTAGGTCACGCACAAATGCGCGTCCTCTATCAGCGAGTGTTATTGTTTGCGCTTCATTAAAGGGCTGTTTTCTAGTAGTGAAACATGAATTTTTAGGAGTTGTTGCAACTGATGTGGTGGTTTTCTGTTTGCTTTTTGCACTCGTGTTTGCATTTACAATGAAATCTTTGAACTTTCAAAGGAGATGAAGGCTTTTAATGGATCTTGGCTCTAACAAATGAGGTAAATTTTGAATTAATTTTATGGCTCTTAGCAACCTGTATTTCAGTTATTTGTGTATTAAATCATTTCCAACTCATTACCCATTACATTATTTTTAACACCAAAAAGTTTTTTTTTTCTTTTTCTGTTTCTAAATTATATAGATATAAGTTAAAATAATTCGGTAATTTATATTATTAGATGAAATATATGTCAACTGTGTGATTTATTTTAATTCGTTACTATGTTTTAAATTATTGAAAAGTAGTAAATATTTTTAAAAAGTTCAGAACATAAAACATTAATTTGTTGTGTTCCATAAAATAATACCGATTTAATCTATAATATAATATTACAAGTAGCAAATATTACAGTTCAAATATCATTATATAATGAAAAATCAGAAGCGACAATGGGTTGAAATTTAAAAACAAAGAGTTTGAAGAATTCTTAGCTGAAAAAGGAGTCACTCACAACTTTTCTGCTCCCTACACTCCACAACATAATGGCGTAGTTGAAAGACGAAACCGGTTCTTATGTGAAGCAGCCCGAACCATGCTTAGTTTCGCTTGTTTACCTCTGTATTTTTGGGCTGATGCAATTGCCACAACTTGCTACACTCAAAATAGATCCTTCTTGAATAAGCGATTTACCATTACTCCATATGAAATCTTAAATAATCGCAATCCTAACTTCAAGTTTTTCCATGTCTTCGGCTCCAGGTGTTTCATCTTTAATTCTAAAGAAAACCGAAACAAGTTCGATGTGAAGGCAGACGAAGGTATCTTTCTGAAGTTAAACATGAATATGAAGTTAAACATCTTGATGAGAAGTAGCTTACCAAGATGAGGGGATTTTTGGTGACCACTTCTTGAAACACACACTAACCCACGAATTTTAGAATGAAAAATGGTAGGATTTTTCCTTGTATTCTTTGGGAGGTATGAGAGTAAATGAAGATTGTGATTTAAGTTTGAAGTGAAAAATGGTGGTGGGGGTGGCTCTCGGCCGAAAGTAAGAAAAAGAAAGAGGGAGGGTTGGTCTTGGTCATTACATGGAGGATTAAGATGCTATACCTAGAAACATGTGATGTAATCAACATAGATATCCTCTAGACAAAAATGAGGTGTCACTTAATTTATGTTAATTAATTTTCTCTTTTTTTATACATATATGTATATATGGCCGAGAATGAAAGGGGAGAAGGGAGAAAAGAAATGTTTGGGCTAGTTTTGATAATATTCGAAATTATAAGGCCCAATATGAACGTTTTCGGCCCATTGGGCCCATGTGAGGGTTTACGGCCCAAAGATGTTAAAGGAATTTGTTTACGGCCCAATAAAGCCCAAGAAATCAAGTGAGACATCTTAGGCCCAATATGGCCTAAAATGCTATGGTTTGATAAATGTAGGTCCAATTAGAACCCAAATGAAGTTCCTTGGCCCAAAATAGCTAAATTGAGAGTTTACTGGCCCATTAGGCCCAATAAGAGGATCCAAATCAATTCTGAGTTTGAATCGGGATATTAGGGTTGTGAACCCACAGTTAAGTGTGTGAAATGAATTGAATTAGGTTTTGGACTTCATGAGTGAGTTTTGGTTCAAATAGTTGTTTTTGAAATAAGCATTAGTACATAACATCAACTTAGATTACAAGTTACACAAGAGTTGAGTATATGAAGAGAGGATTTCCTAGCCAAAAATGCTAGTTGTGACATAAAGTACGGTTCCATAAACTATACCTATTATAGTTTATATACTTGTTTCTGTATAGTGTTCTTGAGCTTGTAAAATAGTGTAGTGTTTCCCAAACTATACCTATTATAGGTTAAATGTATGTTCTTGTATCATTTATTGAACTTAGCAAAATAGTGTAGCGATTTGCAAACTATACCAACTATAGTTTAAATGTGTGCCCTGTAATGAACTGAAGCATTTTCAATTTAACAGTGTGTATAAAGCGGTAGTAAGAGATTTATGTAAAATACCCTTTTGCTCGACATGCTACAAAAGGGTTAAAAATATATACAACTATATTTTGATAAATGCAGCGATAAATCGTTTTGAAACAATTGCAAATGGTTTGAAATCGTTTGAATGTTAACACAAGAGTCCTTGTGCTTAACTTGTATCCCCCCCCCTAAAAACATTGAAAAATAGTGAAAACGTAAGGGTATGAACTCACCTCTAGTGTGTGTTCGTGTTCAGGTATCGAAACTGCAGAGATGATCGTCGGGCTAGCGTACGCGGAAATAATGGTATCCTAATAATATTTAAACACATAATCGTATTTAAATTAGCGAGATAATTAATTAAAGTGTTAGACAACTGAAGAGACTGAAACTCTTTAAGATCGATAAGATTCTTAACAAGCAACACAAGAACACAAAGCAAATAAGAACACAAGATGAATCAAACTGATGTCGAATGATTAATAAGCCACAACCTCAGAAGAACTTTATTAAGAATTGCTACTGTAGAGGTGTGGTAGGGTTAATATAATGAAATCAACGACTAGCCAATACACGGTGCATGCATGCACTATATATAGATCTTATAACCCTAATATATGACGGTTGGACAGGCCCAAACCGTATATATAATGTACTAAAACAAAAAGCCCAATGACGTAATCTTCTATACCCAACAATCTCCCCCTTTGCGTCAATTGAGGTGAGAGAAATCTACTGATATGCTTGTTTTGTCTTCTTCACTGTCTTGAACAGCTTTGGTATGATAGCCAGTAGAGTATGACGAAAAAGAATATACCAGCGAAGCAATGCATTAAAATTCTTTTTAGCATCATCGTCATTTTGTTTCCACCTATTTGTAATACTCAAGATATGCTCCAAACAAGTGGTGGAGAACAGGTGTTTGTCGGGTAAGGCGAAGAGGCACTTTTGATTTTCTCCACGAGTGAACATCACCGTGAGATACTTCGTGTCTATTTTGACCAATTTCATCGTGTTCACATCGCTTGCTTTACCAATAGGTTTGACAGTTGTCTTCTTTCTCAAAGCAGAGGCGATCTCCTGATCCAGCTTCGCTACTTCATGTATGTATGAGACCAGCATTCGCTTTATGTGAGCAAGAATGGGGTCATACTTATGTTCTTCAGTTAATAGAAAATTTGTGAGCAGGATCCAATCGTGAGGATTAAGGTTCGGTAGATCAGCAAGAGAGATCTCATGAACCGAGTTTTCAAAACCTCGAGTCACCCGAAACTTCACATTAATAAAGCTTCCTGCAGCGACTGGCTTTAGAACTTTGACCGATGTAATCTTCTGTGCACTCCAGGTCAAGTACTGAGGTTGAGAAAAATCAAGATAGTACTCAATTAAAGAACGATTAGTCTTCGTGTCAGGAGAGAGAACTGATGTTGGTGGTTATATATTCAGCTTCGGTTGTGGACAAGGATACACACGTTTGTTTCTTAGATTGCCATCTGACTTGTTTTCCATCCAGAAATTGACAACCGCCTGTGGTGCTTTTCCTATCTAGACCACATCCTCCTAGATCAGCATCAGAGAATGCTTGAACGAAGAATACGGATTTCCCAGGATACCATATGCCGAGAGATGAGGTTCGCTTCAGGTATCGGAAGATGTTCTTGACTGCAACCATGTGAGGTTCGCATGGATTGGCTTGAAACCGGGCACAGTAACAAACAGAAAACATAATATCTGGTCTACTAGTTGTAAGATACATTATAGACCCTATCATTTGACAATAGAGCGTCATATCAGCAGCCGGTTTTTCCAAAGATGATGTTGGCTTCGTCCCGAAAGCCATTGGAACCTTCACTTTTGAGTCTCCCATCATGCCGAACTTCGCCAGTAAAGTCTTTGTGTAAGCCTCCTGATTGATAAAAATGCCTTCTGGTCCTTGTCTTATGTTCAATCCAAGGAAAAAGTTAATTGGACCCATTGAACTCATCTCAAATTTAGTCTCCATCAACTTCCGGAATTCAGCTGTTAGGCTAGAATTTGTGGAACCGAAGATGATGTCATCGACGTAGATTTGGACGATCATTAAATGGTCACCCTATTTCTTGCGAAAGAAGGTTGTGTCAATCGAACCTTGTTTAAACTTGGACATATTTAGAAAACGAGTTAAAGTTTCATACCAGGCTCTAGGAGCTTGCTTCAGACCATATACGGCTTTGTCCAAAATATAGCAATGGTTGGGATACTTTTCATTCACGAAACCTGGTGGTTGTTCAACGTATACGGTTTCTTCGAGTTCTCCGTTCAGGAAAGCACACTTGACATCCATCTGAAATACCTCAAATTTTTTGTGAGCTGCATATGCCAAGAAGATTCGAACTGATTCTAACCTTGCTACTGGAGCGAAAGTTTCTTCATAGTCGATCCATTCTTCCTGACAATATCCTTTCACCACTAATCTCGCTTTGTTCCTTATGACGTTGCCTTCTTTATCCATCTTGTTGCGAAACACCCATTTTAGACCGACCACAGATGCATCAGGTGGCGTGGGAATCAATCTCCAAACCTTGTTTCGTTC